GTAAATTGCTACAATTTGATGAACTTGACCTATACTTATGGATGTAGTATCTCAAAATACCAACTGAGATGGAAGGAGTCTTCACATCCAAAATCAATCCTATCCCATCTGCATACAGGGTTGACAGGGACTGGCAACTTAGACACTGGCTACCTAAAATGAGAGGGGCTATAAAGGCACAAAGTAACTGGTTTACAAGTTTTCAAGAGGGAGTTTAGTTTCAGACTGTATGGGGGAAGGTAGAATCCCCACTGAATAGTTTTCACCTTGGCTGGACGGGTCTGGTGAAAGGAAATGGGGATAGGATTCTTTTGATTCAATAGTGAGTAATTGTTATCACGACTAATTGCCACTATCACAACTGTAAAGGTAGAAGTTTTGTAACAAAAACGGGGGAGTAGTTAACCTTACAGTCCAGAAACAGAGAACCCTAGGACCATCAAAGGAGACGAGCATGAGTGGAATGAGGGACCCTATCCAGAGAAGCAGCGACACCAGAGATGGAGCCAGAGATGAGGACATGGAGAGAGGGAGCAGTTGAGAACTCTAGACTCCTGGAAAGAGAAAGGCTGTGTGTTGGCAACCAGGTGCTGGTGGCCAGGAGGCAGGCTTGCAGAATGTGTCCTTTGGTTGTTTAAATGATTATATATTCCTAAGTGTTTTTGTGTACATTCTCCCCCCCAAAAAAGACAAACAAAACAAAAACAGAGGGAATAGAAGCAAACACTGTTGAATGATGATGCACAGAGGAGATTGTAATTATTGCAATTGATACAACGAGTGTAAAACTGATGTTCATCCATGTAAACTAGTCACTCAATTCACAATAAAAACTTTAAAAAAAAGTCCTAGGAGCCCTGGTGGTGATTTAGGATACACACTGGATTGCTAACTACAAGGTTGGGAGTTCAAACCCACCAGCAACTCTGTGGGAGACCCATAAGTCTATCCACTTCCCAAAAACTGAACAGCCTTGGAAGCTCTCTATAGGGTTGCTATGAATTAGAACTGATTTGATGGCAGTGGCTTTGGGTGGGTTTATGAACTAATAGAAATCATGTTGAAGAACTAAAGGAAAATACGATGAGAATAACTTAAAACAGGGAACCTCAATAAAGATAAACTATTGTGAAATTGTATTAGAGAGCCTCAGCAACTGTGAGTTGACAGAAGAATGGTTATTGAGTAATATACAAGATCCTGCCTGAATAACACCAAGAAAACACAATTGAAGAAAAACTGAGCCACAGAGACATGTGAGATAACATCAAGTGTACCAGTATGTATGACACAGGTATATCAGAAGAAAAGAGATAAAGGGAAAACAAAATGTTTGAAAAAGTAGTTGAAAACATCCCATATCTGATGAACACTTTCATAGTTACATCCAAGGAACAACACGTAAGATGTTCACAGAGATTCATACTTAGATACATTCTATCCAACTGATATAAGATAAAGACAAAGAGAATAACTTGAATGCAGTGAGAGAAAAAGAATTCATATCTTAACAAGATTAATATCTGATTTTTCATCAGAAACTGAAACTTATCAGAAACACAAGACATATTCAAAGTGGTAAAAGAAAAAAAATCTGTCAGCCAAGATTTCCCCAAAACTATTCTTCAAAAGTAAAGGGGATAGGGGGAGATGGGGGGGGGGGGGGATAGTCCCAAGACAGAGTATTTGTTGCTAGCAGAACTGCCTCACAAGAAATACTAAACGAAGTCCTCAGGCTGTAAAGAAATGGCACCAGATAGTATTTCCAATCTTAACAGGAAACAAAAAGAATTAGAAATGATAAATAGATAGGTAAATAGATAAGATGCTGTAAGTAAGTTTTCCATCTCTCTCAGGAAAGCAATTCAGAAAGGAAAAAGTAAACCTGCTTTTACTCACAGTTGGCATAATCCTTTATGTACAAATATGTAAGGAACACACACACACACACACACACACACAAAAGCTACTCGAACTAATAAAAAATTTACCAAGTCTTCAGAATACAAACAAGATCAGTATACAAATAGTAATGGTAGAAATCCTGCTTCATTTCTATAGGCTTTCCCTATCCTTGACTTCACTGACAACTTCTTCCAACCCCAATGAATAGTTTCATGACCATGAAAATTTATATTTAGAAATTTCATATCTCATAATTACCACCTGAAAAATAAATATTTCCCTCAGTCTCACTACTTTGCAGAATGAGTTTCTGCAGAGACAAGAAAAATGATCAAAATCATCATTGTCAACATCTGGGCAGGTGGTGATATTAAACAACATGTCCCCTCCCCCACCCCAATAAAACCCCACAAGATTCTAAGATCTTTTTTGTGTATCTTACCACTCTGTATTCTGATCTTGCTGGCTGTAAAACATCTCCAAAATTTTTGCCTAGTGGTGCTTTATCCTCAATGTTAGGAATTAGAGGGATCAGCAGTTGTGTGAAAAATGGAGGCTCTGGACCTCTGCTCAGGTTGGCTACTGTGTCCTAGAATAGAGAGCATTTGTTTCAGAAGAGTATCATGTAGAGTCAAAGACCCTTTCCCTGGCCCACCAGGACCAGATGTGTGTTCACACAAAAACACGCATACTAACAGTCTAACAAAATGTGAGGGGCACCTTACTGAAATGTAAACCTATTGAAACTTTTGCTTTTAGAGAAGCAAGTTTGGGCATAGACAACATTTTCATCACCAGAGGAAGTATGTCTAGTGATCTGACAGTACACTTTATTATTGTTGTTAGGTACCATGGAGTTGGTTCCAACACATAGCTACCTTGTATAGGGTTTCCAAGTAGCAGCTGGTGAGTTTGAACTGCCTACCTTGTGGTTCAAACTGACCTTGCTGTCCAGTGATTTACCCTATAGCACCACACCAGAGTGAGCTTAGAAGTATACTCCTCAGGTTTAAGTTTTGGTACTGTGACTTTTTTAGTTTTGTGACTTTGGACGGGGTTCTAATACATGATAAGCCTTTATAAAATGGCACTATTATTATTTAATTTTTCAAAACTGTTAAGCCTCTCTATCCCAGAGTGAATACCAAGTGTTTTGTTTTTGTTTCCTGTATCCTTCATTCTGCATAATATGATCTTTATTGAAAATTTAAAATTAACCTACACCCTGACTGGTTTAATCTGTTTTCCACTAAATTTATCACCTTTTAAAGTGTCATCAAAATGCTAACCTTAAATATCCTTTCATGTGTATTTAACATACTTTTATCCTCACTTTGGTGATCCTGGTGTGGTGCTACAGGATAAGCACTGGACTGCTAACCACAAGGTCATTGATTCAAACCCACCAGCCAACCCTTGGAAACCCTGTATAGGGTTGCTATGAGTCAGACCCAACTGGACAACACTTAACAACACCAACACCAATAAGCAAACATAGTCATCACATTATATATTTCATCTTTATAACAACCATATGAGGTAGTTATATATTACCATTTTCATATTTCAAATGAGAAAATACAGCTGGAGATAGTGATTTTCTCAAGTTCACATGTTATTGTTAAGTGTCCTTCAGTCAATTCCAACTCAAAACAAAACCCAACTTATAGAGGGTTTCCAAGGTTTGTAAACCTTGGCAGGAGCAGAAAGTCTCATTTTTCATCCACAAAATCTCATTGTTGTTGTTGTTAAGTGCCATCGAGTCGATTCTGACCCATAACAACGTTGCAGTTCAAATGACTTTGCAGTCTGATGCATTAGCCCACAGCACCACACCAGGACAAAATCGCATAGCTAGTCTTAAAATACATATCTATGAAGTTGACTATGAAATTTTCTTATAATGGTTGCCGTTTTCTTCACTCAATATCACCATAAAATGTGAAGAACCAGTGTTCCATAGCAGGAACACTGGTGGTGCAATGGTTAAGCACTTGGCTATGAACCAAAATTTACTAGGTCAAGTGCATCAGCCACCTTGTGGAAGGACAGACTGGTGATCTGCTCCGAAAGCCTAGGAAGCTATAAGGGCCAATCCTACAAGATCCTGTCAGGTAGCTGTGAGTTGGAATTGACTCAACAGCACACAACACTAGTCCCATAACAAGAACTATAGACTTATAATTCTAATGAAACTTCAACAGTGGTTACCTCAAGAGATGAGTTACAGATTTATACTATTTCTATATGATCTAAAATAGGTATAAAAGCACAGGTACTTTTACTCTGAAAAACATACCATTAGTCTTAAAACTGAGACAAACAAAATCAGGTAATTGAACGTAAATAAGTACACTGAATTGAAATTTCAAATATAATCATTCATTGGGTCAAAACACAGGAATTTGTCAATATCCAACTGTTTGGACCTACAGAAACAGCAACTTCATTTGTTGAAATCTAACATATTCAAGCTACTTCTTTTAAAAGGCTTTATGATCTTTGTTATATCATAATTGTTCCACAAGTTTTATTGGGGCTATTGGCATATAAGGGCCTGTTTATTATTTTAAGTCATTTATCCTGCTTGCTGACTAATCTTACACCACTGTAATACAGCTTCATAACTACATCCAAAAGGGAACAATTCCATCAGTGGCGGTCCCTTAGATCAAGTAAACTGGATACTGTTGTTGTTGTTGTTGTTGTTGTTAAGTGCTGTCAAGTCAGTTTTGACTCATAGTGACCCTATATAGGGTTTCCAAGGAGCAGCTGGTGGTTTTGAACTGCCAACCTTGAGGTTAGCAGTCCAGTGCTTATCCTACAGTACCACACCAGAAGTTGATATGTGTAACTATTTTAGGATATAAAGTGTGCATTCCAAGACACTATTTTATTTCAACAAATATGACTCCATTAATTATATCTACTATTATTTCTATAACTACGAAGAAACTAAAAATATGCTATTAATGATCATTGTGGAGTCCTGGTGTGGTGCTGTCGGTTAACGCACTGGACTAAAAAGTCAATTTGAAGCACAAGGTTGGCAGTTCAAGCTCACCAGTCGCTCCTTGAAAACCCTATACAGGGTCACTATGGGTCAGAACTGAGTCGGTGGCACTTAACAACAACAATGATCATTGTAAGAATCCAATGAATGAAAAATGCATCATAATTTCTGAATTATAAAATATATAATGGATTTCTTAGAATCAATGACTTTTTCATCTCATGAAGTGATTGGAGAGCATCTTCCAGAATTAAAGACATCCAGTTCAACTCCCAGTTCAAGTAAACCTGGACACTTACGATCTACAAGCTTATTTGCACATCTGAAAAATGGAAGAATGATATCCTCTTACATCTCAGAATGATTATGAGGATAATATGAAATACAGTACCAAAAAAAAAAAAAAAAAAACCTGCCAACTTTATCTCTGGGAGCCACAGGTGTGTTTCTGTA